GGAAGCGGGGGAGGCGGCGCACGCGCAGTGGGCAGCAGGCCGAGGCCGCCGCCATCATTGCCCCGGCACTGGCTCAGCGAGAGCGCCGCGCTGGGTCTGGGCAGCGCTGCGAGGAGCTCAAGTTGATCTCCGGTGATCTCCTGATCCCCAGCGGTTTCCCTGCGGCACTGCAGGCGTGAGTTACGCGGGCTTTATTTCTGGCTTGGTGGCGAGGTGGGGGCAGTGCCTGTCTCCAGTTCCCAGCTCAGACGAGGAGCAAATGGAGACGGGCGAGGATCCGGACGGCGGCCCCGCGCCTTGTGAAGCGCCTTCTCCTCACCGAGCTGTAGCGAGCCGGTCTCCAAAAAACCCCCTGCGTTTTGGAGAGGTGTCCCCCACCCGCCCCCTTCGTGGCGTTTGCCTTTTGCTAAACGGACGTGGGCTTCGAAGCTGAGAAGAAGAGTTGTCTTTTAAATGCTGCCTGTGTAGTAACAAGCGAAATATTAGGAAAAGGTAAATCGTTTGTCCGTGCAAACTAAGATCCTATCGGCGCATTTAACAGCCTGAAGAGTAAATGCTTTAAAATAAATGCCTGAAATAAATATTTTGTTTAATTAAATGAAACGGGAATGCTATCCTAGCAAACCCTGGGGAAGTATTAGCCTATTGACTGAGAAGTGAAGTCGCCCCGTGAACGTGTCCCTGTGGTTGTTGCCTTCCCAGGCGCGGCGTCTCTGTAGGCGAGGGGTTTTTTTTTTGGCCGAGCTGATCGGTTAAGTGCGTGTTCCACCTGTGCAGGACCGGGAAGCGAGGGGGGTGGTACCTCAGTGCGGCCGGGACAGGGGTGGCGTGTTATCCACCCCCGGCGGGAAGATAGGTCCTCGGCTGGCCGGTTAGCTCAGTTGGTTAGAGCGTGGTGCTAATAACGCCAAGGTCGCGGGTTCGATCCCCGTACGGGCCAGAAAAAGAATTTATTTTTTTTCTCTTCTTCGCTTTGTCCCGGCGGCGGCCGTCCCGCCGCCCCCCCTCGCATTTCTGCCGAGACACGCGTGTTACCGCTGCACAAGGACACGGCCGCGGGGAAGGGGGCTCGTGCCCCCCCGAGGCCGGCAGAGCCCGGGTTCCTATCTCTGCGAGGCCGGCTGGCGCGCCGGCCGGGCCGGCGGCCCCCCCCGAGCCACC